GACCCCGGAGGAAAGAGACATCCCTCGAGCGAGGGGTTGTGTAAACCCCATGTATGCACTACCCCCGGGACTCTGTGACGAGGCAGAATTTGCGCCCCCCCCCCCCTCCCCTTCCACCTAATTAATACACGTTACTTTGATAGGTTAAGTTAGGTTTAAGTAATCTTTTTTGCCGCCGTTGGGCAACCCATCCCCAGATACTCCTAACCCCCGTCCCCGTTTTCCCTCCCGCTGGCACTCACGCATCAAGGAAGAGGATCCCACGTGACCCCGGAAGAAAAAGACATCCCCCGTACGAGCCCCCCAGATGAGAAGAAGAAGGATACCCGATGACCCTCCCAAAAATCAGGAAAGAAAAAGTGAAAATGATTGGTAGCTATCACTCGTGCCACAGCTGCCCCACGAGTAAGAGAGTTGCCCCGAAGTGACCCAGTGAAGAGACCCTGTTAAAAGACCCTGTGAAGAGACCTTGTTAAAGGACCCTGTGAATAGACCCTGTCGAGAGACATTGGTGTGAGAACTATTGTGAGAAGAGGAACTAGTGTGGAAAAACTATAGAGAGAACTGTGAGAGAAGAGGGAACTGAGTGAGAGGAGGAGACGGTGTGAAAAACGGAAACTGTGAGACAAGAAAGAGAGACTTGTGTGCAGAGAAAAGGTATGAAGAGGATACACGGAGAACACAGAGAGGGAGAAGGAAGGAAGAAGGCAAAAGCCCAGAGGAAAACGGAGAGAATTCTGAGGACATTATTCACCGTGAGTGCCCCATTTTTAATTACCTGCCCCAACGAATTTCCCTGCCCCATATTGCATTGCCCCCCCCCCCCCCCCCCCCCCGCCAACGGCGAGACTCCAGTAAATTCATTTTAGTTGTAAATTAAGCCTCCTATTAATTATTACCATTTCAGTCGGCCACCTCACATCTCCCACTTTTTCCAGAGTTAGAGTCACCACTTCTGTTTATTATATCATATTTCGCGTAGCCGCAAGTGAGTTGGCCGTACCCCCTACCCTCGAGTTAATCAGTTATTAGTCAAAAGGCCCGGATTATTTTTCATGTTAATATGTTGTAATGCGATTAGAATACAGTCAATTTATAAATCCCCCCGAGTAATTATTGAGAACCCCCCTCGCTCTTATTATTTCAGGTCCTCCCGTAAGTTATAAGGAAGTTTCCCTAATTTTTCAGAATATTATTAATTCCTCAATATCGTGCCCTCGCCGGGAATTATTATATTTTAATTCCGCGGCCAAGGTCACAAAATATATTTACACACTTAAAAAATTTTCTCATGTTATTTTTTACAAACCTTAGATCACCATTCAATGTAAAAAATTTCCATTTCCAATTATTGTACTTCTCATGTTATATCATATCATCTTTTCGATCCATGGAATAGGTATATTTACTCCACTTCAACACCACACATTGAAGAGGCTGAGTCTTATGGTGATACGATGCGTACGTGCTTACCGGCAAACACGCGCAGCAGCCACGTGAGTGTGCATCAGCTCGCGCTTCGATCTCAATGAGAGAGAGAAGTCTGGAGTTTGAAAAATGACTCCTCATATTTGATAAAAATAAAAGAAATATTCATCTTTCTTATTAGTTTCATGTCACGATCAATTTTAAGAAAAAATTTCAAAATCATAAATTAATGATAATGGTTATTGAGGTTGCATAAAAGAGAAAAGCCCATCACCAACAGATCATTTGAAAAATCATTGGAGCTGGATTTGAAAATCATTGGAAGAAATCATGGTCAACTATAAGATATAAAATATTAGACATCCAAAATCGGATTTAAGACATCACATGGTTGATATTATACATCAGACATCAGACGGCAGATACTCAACATCACATAGTGGTTGACCGCCTCCCGCCCCCCTAAAAATCTGACCCAAAAATTTGACCCCAACCATTACCATCCCAAATCTGCAAAGTAGAACTCGCTATTACCGACCGAAGGCCCAGCTGAAACCGACATTATTCTCCCCCGCAGGCTCGCTTGCCCCGCACCCATTATCAGATCCCTATATCCAAAACCGGTATAGTCTGCCTACTCCCGTCTCTTCAGCGGAGCAGCCAAAAAATTACCGTCCCTTCTCTTTCCCGCATGACCTCGAAGGTCGGGGCTTTGGTTCCTTTTGGTAAGAGTAGGATCTCGGAATTCACTAGTTCCTTCATGCCTTTCATCTCCTCCGGTGAGATTTTCTTGTCCGGGTAGCTCTCTGGGAGAATAGCTAGTCGAACCATTTTTGTCCCGGTCTGCGCGTACGACGCTCGATTGCTTCTTTGTCTCTTTCTCGTCGGCGACCATCTGGAGCACCATAGTAGTAAGTGGCCAGTATTGGGGAATTTCCCACGCTCCCTCCCCCCTTTTTTCCAGGAAATGGACGTGCACGTGCAGGTATGTCCCCCCTCCTTCCCCCCAGGGGGCTATTGCGTAGAAGCGTGTCTAGACACGTTCATCCCTTTGGTCACGCCCTTATCGCGATTTTCATAATC